CAGACTTTACGGAAATGGGCATAACTTCTTCGTCCGAACTCCGAATGAGGTGAAACAAACTGCGTTAGGTAGCTAACTGAAAGGGCTTTCCATGGATATATTATTGGCCACCCAAATAATTTGTGTGCTAGGAGATATGACCCTCCAAAGTAGACCCTCGAAAAGGCTTCACTTGGAAATTTCGGATTTTGATACGGTTGCTCTAAAATTTGGGTTAGACCTATTTCCCACTCAATTTGACCCCCTAAACAAGAATATGAAGTCGGATTTTCGAAAAACGAAACGGATCTTTTTATAAGTAGCTAAACAAGTTTCCGGACGTCACGATCATTTCTTGACGTTTGACCTCAAATCTCTTTAAACTACACTTCAAAAGCCATTTCTCATCATTTCATTAAGTTCACGACTCCAAACTCATATATGAGGCTCTAGTTTCACTCTATCATTTTCCGAGTCGTTACAGTTGTGGACCAGTTTGAAGTCCTATTGAAACAGGTAGAATGGGTGAAATAAAGGTTTCTACAGCAAGCTGATTCTTTAAAAGCTGAAAGAGAACAACTTCGTGTTAAGAAAAAAGTGCAGTGATATAATTTTAGAGAGAAGGCAGAGAGAAACATGCAAAAGTATAAAGAAGAAATCCAAAAGTATGAGAGTTAAATCTCTCCGTTAAGATTTTAATATGAAAGATAAAAATTAGAAACACTTAAACGAAGCATTCCTCAAATGACAAAGGGTTTAGTAGCGTATGCAGAAAGTTTTAGCTCTGATACCAATTTGAAGAAAAATATTCTATTTATAAACTCTTGTATTTTACTACATTGAAAATATCTAATAAGACACCCCCATTTATAATACTAACAATCAGGGCCAGACCCACGTAGATGGTTTCGGGTGCTCGAGCACCTATTGACTTCGATAAAAAATTTGTGTATATATATTGAAAATATCAAAGATACGATATTAAATATAAATAAGCATCCATTGAACAAAAGCAGTAATGGGTGCACTGATTTTCATTTGAAATATAAGGTGTGCGAAGCAACGCGGGTGAGGGTTTGAATCTCATTAGCCCCATCCATTACTGTGAATTTTGCACCCTTTTTTTTTAACTTTTTCCTTTTTTGAAGGCTTCTTTTACTCCAAATTTTGTACGTATTTTGACTTTTCCTATTCTTAATTAGTTTAGACTGACTAACTTTTTGTTTTTTTTTTATTTTTAACTTTATCTATGCTTTAAAACCTTTTCCACTGCCATCTTTTGAGAATTTTTGTTTAACAAAACGACGAAATCGTTTTTCTTCTTCTTGTTTCAAAGAGAAAGCAGTTAGCCCAACATCAAACTTCAAGCTTTTTTCTTTTCAAAATTAAAATACAAAAGCAAGGTAATAAGATTTGATGTTTGATTAAAGTTAGACAATGAAAAAAAAGGGTTTGGGGAATTAGGTTTGGAGATTTTCATTGCTTATGGCTAGTATTCTTAAGTTTTAATTCTTAAAATAGATTCCACATACTTTTTTTGTCACTTGATAAATAGGTTTAGAGTCTCACATATTTAGCCTTTTGTGATTAAAAATATATTTTTTGAATACTTTTGAAACAATTTTTTTTCTTACCAACTTACTTGATTCAAAAATTAAATTTTAGGATGTATACAAATTGTGCAATTGAAAATTTTGTGCTCATTGACTCATATATTGGTAATTATTGTTTGTGGTGTTGAAAGATCAAATAGATATATTAATTGTTGTTTGGATTGTTGACAGAAAGTTATAGATTTCAATAAAAATTAATTGAATTATGTGAATTAATTATATGAAAAATTTGAATTTTGTTTTGCAGGAAATGGATAAGTATGTCACAAGATCAAAAATTGGGCATCCAAGTTCTAGCTCTACTCATCCATCTATCGCTTCAACCATAGCTTCAAAAATTGAAAGGGAAGCATTTATTTCAAATGTTGATTTAGAATCTATTGAAGCTGATCCGGGAATTAGAAAGCCCATTACAGAATATAATCCTAATATATGTGACGATATTATGAGATATTATATTCTAAAAAGCCTTGCCAACCTAAGGATCATAAATTTTCCTAAAACTAAGTTTGGGAAGAAAATGCGGCAATTTTTTTCTGATTGATTTAATTATTGTAAGTGGTTAGAGTATAGCATAACAAAAGATGCTGCATTTTGTTTGTGTTGCTACTTGTTTAAAAATTAATTTGAAAGTCGTGGAGATGTGGTTGGTGCTGCTTTCAGAAAAAAATGGTTTTAGAGCCTGGAACAAAGCTACTGAAAGATTTAGAGCTCATGTTAGAGATATAAATAGCATTCACAACATGTATTTCAACAACATGTTTGATTAATCATCAGTCAATTCGCACTTCCTTTGATAAAAAATCCAAGAAAGAAAAAAGTGAGTATCGACGTCGCTTGAGTGCTTCAGTTGATGTGACAAGATTTCTCTTGAAATTAGGATTATCATTCCGTGGACATGATGAGAGTTGATCTTCTTCAAATAGAGGTATTTTTCTTAAACTTTCACAATTGTATGGAGATATTAATGAAGATGTTGGAAGCATTATTTTAGAAAAAACTCTAAAAAATGAAATGATGTGTTCTCCAAGTATTCAAAAGGATATTGTTGATTCTTGTGCTAAGGAAACAATCAAATTTATCCTTGAAGACTTAAATGAGAATTATTTTGGGATACTAGTTGATGAATCAAATGATATATCACACAAGGAGCAAATGACACTTGTTTTGAAATATGTTAACAAAGAAGGAGAAGTGATAGCGATTTGTTGGTATTATTCATGTTAGTGATTCATCTGTTTGTTCATTAAAGAAGACAATCTACTCTTTTCTTTGAGATCACTCATTAAGTCCATCCCAAATATGTAGGCAAGGTTATGATGGAGCTAGCAATATGCAAGGAGAGCTAAATGATCTTAAAACTAAGTTGATTTTGAATGAGACTCCAATGGCATATCGCATTCATTGTTTTGCCCACCAATTGCAGTTAACACTAGTGGCTCTTGCAGAGAAGGATTCGAATGTAGATGACTTTTTTTGCTTAGTTATTAATGTGTTAAATATTGTTGGAGCATCTTTTAAGCGCAGGGATTTACTGCGGAAATACCAAGGTGAAAAGTTAGAGGAGTTACTCCTATCAGGGGAAGTGCATATTGGGCAAGGATTAAATCAAGAATGTGGGCTTCAGGGGACAGGTGATACTCGTTGGGGTACTCATTATAGAACATTAGATAATATTATTGTTTTATTTTCATCAGTTATTCATGTGCTTGAATTTACTGGATGCGAGCGTCCAAACAATACTGATAGGCTTGTTGCTAAAACTCTTGTGGATACGATTAAGAAATTTGATTTTGCCTTTATGTTGCACTTGATGTGAAAAGTTCTTATGATGACAAATGAATTGATCTCCTCATTACAAATGATGGATCAATATATTGTCAATGCTATGGGATTTCTTGCTTTTACAAAGCAAAGATTACAAAATATGAGGGATAATGAATTCGAATCATTAATGGATGATGTCTCTTCTTTTTGTGATAAACCTGATATAGTCATTTCGGAGATGGATGCTAGCTACTTTCGTGGGAAGTCAAAGCGTAAAGCTCGACATATTCTCATCATTTGCGCGTTGAAATTTTTTATGTTGTTTTTGATTTGCATCTTCAAGAGCTTAATAATCGTTTTGATGTTGTGAGTACTAACTTACTTCTCGGTATGACTAGTTTGAATTCAGTTAATTCATTTGATAGTTTTGATAAGGGCAAGATAATGAGGTTGGCTGAATATTATATGAATGAGTTTTACAGCAACAAGCTTCGGGATCTCAGTTTTCAACTTGATAGTTTTATAGTTTATGCGAGAAAATAGTCAAATGCCCCCTAACCTATTACCCAATTCCTACACACTAATACTTCAAGGGAGTCCTATTACCCTCTTGAAGTATTTTAAACAGAAATATTGACACCCTTAAGTGTTGATTTGTCATAGCAAGTGTGTTCACTTTCCTGAAAACAAGTGTAAGTCAAATAAATAAATTAAAATTAGTTAATTTGACAACTGCCATTTTTTAATTGGTTACTATATAATTAATAAATTATTTAATTAACTAAAATCATACACTCTCTCTCTAGCCCTTTCTCTTCTTTAATAATTACACCTGTGCAACTGTAGTTTGCCACCGCAACTCTACTAGAAGCACCTATACAATATTTTATCTTCTCATTTTTTCACTTTTTTAATCAACAATATGCTTTTTCATTATCAACACATTCAAAATCTTCCTCTAAAAAAAGACAACATAACCGGAAGAAAGAAAAAGATAACTCTTCCATCTCTTCACCTCGATGGAAAACATTTCGGTCCAATATCAAAAGACGAAATTATAGCTTTTTGTTGAAATTGTTTTTTGATTATTGTATCAGTTTGAGTTTTTTTTTTACTGAAACTGAAAATGGGTATTAAAATTTGAGATTTGACAAGAAAAAATTCATCAAGAAGGGCCATGGAAAAATCAACAAGCGTAGACCTTCCTTTAAAGACAATAATGGCAATAAGATATCATCATAAAAAGATTCAATATTTATGTCAACTTTATTGAATTCAACAATGCCAATTGGGTTTTGTGAAAAATAAGTTACTGGAGAGAAAGAAGAAAGGTGAAGGATGATGGTGTAATGGTGATGGAGATGAATGGATGAGAAGAGACATCTTAGAACAATGAAGAGAAAAATGGGACAAGTTAAGAAGATGAATAGAATGATAATGAAATTGGACAATGGTGGAGGAAAAACAAAAAAATGCATAAAAGGAATGATTTTGGTGATGATTTTTTTTTATTTTTTGATTCTGCAAAAAGTAAGCGTGTGTATTACACTGGGTAAGAAAAAATTGGGAGTGACGTTTTAAGAGTGTCAATATCTCTGTTTAAAATACTTCAAGGGGGTAATAGGACCCCCGTGAAGTATTAGTGGGTAGTTGAGAATTTGGTAATAGGTTAAGGGGGCATTTGACTATTTTCTCTAGTTTATGCTCGTGATTCTGACAAGAGGTTCTTCAACTTGAAGGGAATTAGTGATCTTGCTAAAGTATTGATCAAGTCAGATCTGCATCAAACTTGGCCACTTGTTTATTTGCTTATCAAGTTGACTCTCATACTTCCTGTTTTTATTGCTTCTGTGGAACGAGCTTTCTCATCCATGAAGTACTTTAAAAATAAACTTCGTAATTGTATTGGTGATGAATTTTTGAATGGTTGTTTAGTTTGCTATGTAGAGCGTAAGATATTTGGAAATGTAAGCAATGATGCTATTATTATCGTTTTCAACATATGAAAAGTCGTCGAGCACAATTATGGCTTTAAGACTAGAAGTCTCTTTTTGTAATGATAATATTACTAGTAGATCATTGTGACTTATAATTAGAGGTTGTTTTTTATGATGATAATATTAATCGTTGTTTTATTTTTTTACTTTTTTTATTAAAGAGTTTGAGTTAGTATACGTTTACTTTTTTTATTAAAGAGTTTGAGTTAGCATATATTTACACTATGTGATTGCTAACAGTTTTATGTTAAAGGAAGTGAGCACCCACAACCTTTAAATTCTGGATCCACCACTGCTAACAATCAAAGTAAACTAGGACTAAAATTCTCTCTAACTATTTTCTCTGTCTTTAATTACTTGTCTACTTTTGAATTGACACACCTATTAAGAAAATAAGGAAAAAAAGGACAAATATACCCCAAACTATTATAAATGGTATACAGATACCCTATGTCATACTTTTGGGACTTTGGTGCCCCTGCTGTAAAAAAACTAGAGCATATTTGCCCTTTACTCTAACGGAAGACCAAATAGGAACACGTGACGCAATCCTACGGAGGGACCCATTTGACCAATTAGTTAGACCCAAAATTTAAAAATCCACTAATTAATTAGCCAAACACTGATCTTCAAATAAATTGAAAAACTATTCCAAAATAAATAAGTAATTTTTTAAGGATTAATTTAGTGTAGTAGTGCCACAATAAAATCATAATTTCTTTTACCAAGCTTTTAGAATATGCTTATTTGAAAATATAATTATTTTTCAAAAATAATTACTTTTTGGAAAGTAACATTTGTGTTTAGTAATCATTTATCTAAATATTTTTGTCAATATAAAATCAGCATTTTGTGCTTAATTAATACTTCAAAAGTAAAATAAAATACGATACTTTTTTAGCTTCTAAAAATAACTTCCTCCATTATTCAAAACTACTTTCATCCGTTCTTTTTAAATTGTCATGACTCCTTTTTAGAGTTAAATGATATTTATCTAATATTTTACGATATATTTTTTCATTATATTGTTATGTAAAAAATTGTAATTTATAATACTTTTTATATAGTTTTAAATATCTAAAAAGTTTAGCCGTTTAAAATATCAAATTAATATGATTTAATTTAAACTTTAAAAACTAATCAAATTGAAAAGGAATGAGTAATTTTATTTCTAAAAACTTAGCCAACCACGTCAACTCTCTAAATAAACACGTTTTTTTTTGTCTTTTCCAACATTTTTGACTTGCAAAACTTTTGGCCAAACAAGCTAATAGCTATCAGAAGTATTTTGGGGGGCTTTTATCACTTCCCAAATTTTCAACTATAGTACCTGCTGCTACCATGGCAACTCATAGCAATTTGAAGAATGCCTTGATTGCGTTTCTTGCTCCACTCCCCTCCTTACTTTTCTACCTATCTTTCCTTCGCCATTACCATGAAGATAATCCACTCTACAATTGGTGTTACCACCACCCTCTTCTGTTTGCTAATGTCTTGTTTTTCTTCAATGTCAATATCCTCTTCTATGCCATTGGTTATCTCCAATCTAGTCACTGGGTAATTTTATACTTTTTTTTTAGATTAACTAATTTCAGTGATGAATTTCTTGTTAGATTTGATTTGGGTTTTTGTTGAAATATGGTAATTTGATTTGTATTCCAAATTAACTAGGCTAAGGTGATTTTTGAAGTTATATTTTATCATTTGTAAGCAAAAAGTTTCTCAGGGAAATTGTGCTATTATTGTATTAATATTAGTATTGATTTGATGAATTGGGTTATTGTTGGAATTTGATTTTCAGATGATAGATTTGTACTGGACTGTGATTCCAGTAATGCTAGTGCATTTCTATGCAAATCATCCATTGGCACAGTATAATGTGTGGAGGTCTAAGGTGGTTATACTTTTAACTTGGATTTGGAGTATAAGACTAACTCATAACTACTTCCGTCGCGAGAACTGGCAATGGGGACACAGGCAAGATTGGAGATTTACAGATATGAGCCACCAGTTTGGCAAGAACTGGTGGTGGATCTCTTTCTTTGTTGTTTATTTCTCTCAGCAGGTGATTCTTTATCTGTTTGATTAAATGCCCTAATGAATTCAGTTCTTTGTTTCTTTTCTGTAGCTTACTTATTATACCGATGGCTAGAAACTGTGTAAGTCTATAAACAACAGATCAGCAAGCAGTCATCAATTTATTTTTAAAATGAAACACATAATTTATTCGTGAACTATTCATTCAGAATTGAGGACATTGTTTAGATGGTATTAGAGAATATGTATATGATCATTTATGCAACTTCACTCAATGTCAGACTTCTATTCTTAGTAATTTTGTGGTGCAATGAGAAGAGTCCCATTCATAAAAATTCTAGGGGACATAACCCATATTACTAACTAGAGAAAGGATTTATCGACTGATTTTAAAGCCTACTAACATTGCCTGTTTTAGAATTTTCCTTCCCTATGATATAGCATACCTAATTGCTTTCATAGATTGTCGTGTTGTCTTCAAGTGCTCAATCAAGCCATAAAAGAGTATGCCTCGCAAACAAGAAATGCATTCCAAGTTCTTCCCTCAAAGTTTTTGCTGTTCAGATGATACCATCTCTAGTTTTGATACCACTCACTTTAGTTAGTATTTTTTGCTTGCGCGACCATATAAACAAAAACATTGTTTGCTCAAAAGCATGGTACTGGTAAAGATCATACCATGTTGCATTTTCACTGAAGGACCAACCTTCTTGGCCTTCACCAAGCATTAGCAAACAGCTTTCCAAGCATTTTCGACAGCAAATTTATTGTTTGAATTAATTGTGTAAAATTAAGTCTGGTTGCTGTAATATCTCGAAATGTGACAAATTGAATTTGCAGTTGGTCTGGTGGTGGAACAGAGAGACATTAGTGACTCCTTTATCATCCTCTTATGGTTTTATTTATTTTTGACATGGTTTTGCAGATTTTCCTGATCGGTATATGCCTGCCTATGTATGTTGTCCACTCTGAAGACAAGCCATGGAATAACTGGGATTTCATTGCTGTATTCATCTGCTTGTCTGCCATTATAATTGCTTATTATGCAGATACAGAGCTCTACAATTTTGTGAGCGGAAATCAGAAACTAAAAGAGCTTGGCAAGCCAATGGTTCCCAATCTTGATGAAGGCCTCTGGAAGTATTCACGACATCCAAACTATTTTGGAGAGCAGTTATGGTGGTGGGGACTCTTCCTATTTGCCTGGAACTTGGGTCAGACTTGGACTTTTGTTGGTGCACTCGCTAATAGCTTGTGTCTTGCACATGTCACTGTGCTTGTTGAGAATAGGATGCTTAAGCAAGCCTACAGAGCTGAAGCATACAAGCTCTACCAGAGGACAACATCTGTGTGGATACCATGGTTCAAGTCATCCGCAAAAGGGAAAGATAAGGAAACTTGAGTCTATTTTCAATCTCTTTGGTGTCTTCCTTTGTTAAATGTCCACGATAAGATTTAGAACTATTGAATAAGTAATCTACTAATGTGCGTTTTAATTATGTGTCTTGTACAATTCATTTGCTTGCAACTGTCCCGTGTCATTCATCCAATAGCCTGAAAGCTTGCTAAGAAGAAACAAAAATATGAGGATTGTTCTCCACCAGAAACATGCATAATACATGTAAGAAGGTAGGAAGAAATCAGACCAACTGAATCCAGATACCTCAACATGTATTATATGGTGAAGGGAATTCGAAGAATGGACAAAAGAAACAACCTAATTACTTGCATATATGTTTAAACTATCATCTCGGTACACTTGTAGTTTAGTCCAGCGTAGAACTGAGAATTGTCCCCACTTCTTGCTCACTGTACTTTCTGATGTTGTTTCTCAATCCAAGCCGTGTCTCTTCCTTCCTCCCAATTTGATTTGCATCAAATTTGCAACTGTTAGTAAGCCTGACATACAAAAAAATGAATATTTCTGTAATTCTCTCATTAGAATAGCGACAAGAGAATAATGTGAAACCTTGAATCTCTTGAGATCATGCTAATAGGGAGAGAGCTCAAGAACTTTAAGGTTTGAGCTCATGATTTGTTACTGATGGCAGAGTCATAGGCAAAAAAGTGCTTCATACATATAACTCCCAAGCTGGTTGTAGTAGTAAGTAGATAATATGATGAAGTTGTCTTGGTAGAAATATGACCTGTTTTACTGATCTTACAGATTTCTTCCTATAAGTATCAGTCTCCTTAACAACACATGAAATTTCGTAGCTTGGGCTTAAATCTTTTTATGTTACTTCCCGGAGAGCTGTCAATGGAAAGAAAAGCAAACAATATAGAAAGAAATTTGTTGAATTTTCCATGGCTACACTTAAGATAAAGCTTGATTGAGTAGAAGCATTGAAGATAGTCTTGGCCTGGAGAGTTGGAACTTTAGTTCTGTCTTCTGCGGCAATTTATGAATATGTTCAATCAAATATTCAAGAGTCTTATCCCTGTTTACTTGCAACTAAAAGAACATTCTTATTTTAGTTTGCTTGCAACTATTTCTTTTAAAAATCTTAGTTCAGTTGTTGGGAAAGCATGAGATCTTGAGAATGTAATCTTGATATTCCGTCAACCATTTCTCGTGCTGAACAGATTTATTATGAGAGATCAGGATTTATGTTTGCAATAGAAGGGTCTTTTTTATGAACTTGTTATGGAGTTTTTTTTTTTAATCAAAAGAAGAGAAAAGGCACATTGCTCATGTGAAGAACCAGTATGTGGAGTTTGTAGAGTTCATCGAAAATATGTATATAAAAAAAAAGGAACCCTGTATATATAGCCGTGTTTTTAATAGCATTCATCAATCAATAACAAGTACATCTAGTCTAATCTCTAGAAGTGGAATGTACATGAAATTTGGGCTACGAATTAAACTATGCCTACAAAATTGAAAGTAACTAGTTGCAACTCTATGCCTTGTCTTCTATACCGTTTGCAGAAACTCCTTCTGGTGTAGCTGTTCCTCTGTTAGCGTTGAGGTAGCATCTCGAAACTTCAAGAACAGCAGCAACAAAGGCCAAGGAAGCAAGAAAAGCAATGTAAGCATTCTTCCAAATCCCGACGGAAGCATTGAAGATAGTCTTGGCCTGGAGAGTTGGAACTTTAGTTCTGTCTTCTGCGGCAATTTATGAATATGTTCAATCAAATATTCAAGAGTCTTATCCCTGTTTACTTGCAACTAAAAGAACATTCTTATTTTAGTTTGCTTGCAACTATTTCTTTTAAAAATCTTAGTTCAGTTGTTGGGAAAGCATGAGATCTTGAGAATGTAATCTTGATATTCCGTCAACCATTTCTCGTGCTGAACAGATTTATTATGAGAGATCAGGATTTATGTTTGCAATAGAAGGGTCTTTTTTATGAACTTGTTATGGAGTTTTTTTTTTTAATCAAAAGAAGAGAAAAGGCACATTGCTCATGTGAAGAACCAGTATGTGGAGTTTGTAGAGTTCATCGAAAATATGTATATAAAAAAAAAGGAACCCTGTATATATAGCCGTGTTTTTAATAGCATTCATCAATCAATAACAAGTACATCTAGTCTAATCTCTAGAAGTGGAATGTACATGAAATTTGGGCTACGAATTAAACTATGCCTACAAAATTGAAAGTAACTAGTTGCAACTCTATGCCTTGTCTTCTATACCGTTTGCAGAAACTCCTTCTGGTGTAGCTGTTCCTCTGTTAGCGTTGAGGTAGCATCTCGAAACTTCAAGAACAGCAGCAACAAAGGCCAAGGAAGCAAGAAAAGCAATGTAAGCATTCTTCCAAATCCCAACATCCATCATCTGGAAACCTTTGAAACAATTGAGAATTCCCATTATAATAGTACCATAACCAGTGCACCAGTGATAGATATTCCAATACACCCTATATTTGTGTTCCTTTGATGGCCGTAGACGATGAGCTAACACTTGTAATGTTGCAAGCACTAAAAGTGCACCACCAATGTATCTATGACAAGTGTGTTGCTTAACTGAAGAAGATTGTCTCCCAAGATAAAATCCCAAACCTCCACCAGCAATACCGAGAAAATAAGCTATACTTTGACAATAAATATGTAGATTGAACCACAAAGCTGGATAGTACTCTTGTAATGGTAGATATCTCAGTCTAGCAAGAACAACACCAAGTGGCATCATCATTCCCCAACTAACCGCATTGATAATACCATGTGCAATCTTTATCTTAGACCTTGAATTTAGTTTTACATTATGACTACTAATAGGCACAGTTTTCCCAGAATGGAAATTTAAAGTGCCAAAAGATCTCAAGTTATCTCCTGACATGCCATGACTACCTGGTGTATCATCATCTTGTAGTGGTCCTTCTTGCCAAACATGATTCACAACATTACTTCCATTCATAGGTAGCTCAAACCTAGCAAAGATGATGACTTGTCCGTTGATATTCTGGGCTGAAACATCATGAACCGTAAAGCTCAAGTCACCTTTCACAAGGGTGGTTCCATAGGTGTCGATAGGTGACGTGTATGCTTCGAGAGTACCATCAGAACGTTGTAATGCAACAAAAGCTTGCGAGCCGATCATCCCTGTAGATGTTGGGTTTATAGCCCAAGCAAGCCATCTTCCGTGCTGCCTTTCAGACTTCCTAAAGGCGATATCGACAGTACGAGAAGGCACGTTGTAATTCCAGTGAATAAAAGAATTCAAAGTATGAAGATGGCTGCATGAATCGTAGGATTTTCCATCGAAGTGGAAATCGGAGCAGTTGGTTCGAGCATATGAGGAGAGGAACCATAGGGAGAAAAAGAAGCAAAAAACCAACAGGCCGTTATTAGAGTATGCCATCAAGTACGTAGTTAATTTCTTATGATGAGAGGGTGGTGTATTTATAATATGCGTTCACTAATCCAATTTAGGGATGAGCTAGGTTAGTTAAATTTGGAAGTTACTCACGAATTAGGATCTATAATCCCACTATGAGTGGGAGTAGGAAAACTTAACCTTTTTTTTAAAGATTAGTACTAATTTTTAAACATAAGGTAAATTTTTTTAAAAAAAAATCCGCTTTTAATTTGTATATTTAATTGAACTAATCCCATTTATGGATGGACTAGGCAATACTAAAATTTGGAAGTAAATCACATTATGATGTGAATAGGAGAACGCACTCATATAAAAATATTAGTAAATACTACTACTATCATTCTCTACTATAGAGATGTATAAGATGTCTCAATTTATGAAAAAGTAAGAAAATAGTTTTAGATAGTTGAATCATTTGATGAAATATGTTTATCCAATAGAGCGAAAAAGTACGTACTTTCTAAGTTGTAAAAAATAATGCATATACGAATTGTGGTAAACAATATGAAGGATACAATAGAAAAATCACATATAAATTAGGATTTATGTGTATAAATTAGAACTTGTTGCAACACTAATAGGTATGAAGATTTTACTTGGAATATTTTATTTGGGGAATGTTCATTGATATTTCAAAAAGAATAAAATTGCGGTAAGTTAGGATATGACCCATTTTTAGTTTTTTAAAGATAATTACAATACAATGTATTTGGGTGATTTAACTTATAAAAGTGAAATTTCAAATATATACAATGAAGTAATTAGTCTACAATAAATAGTCTTGTTTTCATTTATATTAAAAATAGCCAAAAATCGTAGAAAGTGTACACGGACTATACAACATAACTTGCCAAAAGTCATAGAAAGTATACACTAACTATACAATATATCTCACATATACATGAGTGATACACTTATATTATGATATACTCGAAAAGCTGAATATAAATTAACTATATATAAAATATACACTGACTAAACACGAAGTATACACTAACTATTCAATCTTGATCAACTCAAAATTACCTCTCTCTAAACGGTTCCAAATTTTAGATACGAAATCCTCTCGATGTTTCAAGTCTTTACGAAGGGGGGGGGGAGAAAGAGGAGGGAAAAGAGGTCATTAATGCCGAAATTGGAAAGAGGAAGAAGACTTTGGCCAATTTCCATATAGGGAAGTGCTAAATGGCCAGAATTATGTGGCCATAATTTGACCAGAATTGTAAAAAGACTAATTTAACCTTTTTCCCTTTTATTACTACTATTTCCTAAGCTTCTAAAAATACGTGTGAACAACAATTATTATGTTTAGTGAGTTAGAATTATTATTAATTATGTGAAGGAAATTATTTATGGACTTTATAATGTGGGACCTATTATAATCTAAGAGAAAAGGACCAAAATTGTCCCTTATCTTTGCCTTAAGACTCAAAATGATCCTTTATCATTTCATATGAGCACTAATAGTCCTCCTTTTTTTGTAAAAATGGTGCAGTTTTAGTATTTCTAACATTTTTCGTCAATTTACAACGTTTAGCTCCTTTTGTCCATTCATTAAGCAACAATGAAGGTTAATTATTAAGGCCACCAAATGAATTAATTTTGAGTGGCAGGATCCATTGTATTTACAATTAATATCACCCTCATATATTGGCTCCATTTATCCATTTACAAATTTACGGAAAAAAAATACTTAGATTCTCACTTGATGTCAGGATATTCATATTGGTGTCCAACTATGTTAGAATCGTGCCGCGTAGGGCTCCATTTGGTTCGTATACCGAGAGCTCGAATCTGAAACCTTTGGTTAAGAGATAAACATTCTTATCCACTACACTACATCCTTTGGTTGTATAGATATACTAAATCCTTTGTCTAGAATTCCAGAAACACGCTTCAAGTTTAAAACAAGAGCTTGTTAGTATCAATTAAGCATAAAATTATAATTTAATAATTATTATTGGGTTATGATTACTCGTTAAGAAAATTCATACATCCTTATAGAATTGATAATATCAGGGAGATAATGATATCGAAGAAATTTTTTTATCGTGCACGGATAGAATTGAAGGTTGGATCTGCTAATTGAAAAGTGCTTACAATAAGAAGTAACAAATTCTATATACAATCTATGATTTGCTGCTATAGCTTTGACTCCATTTAGGGCTTATATCTACCCTCTAGAATGATACGAATAGAAAATACACGGAACAATTAGTTTTTTAGGGTAAAAAAATTTATTTAATTTAATGCACGACAGGCATATAAGCAACTTTCGTTGATGATAGACGGAAAATATTTGATAGACTAAAAATGTATCATTTTTACAAAGAAGGAGGACTATTAGTGCTCCATATGAAATGATAAGGATCATTTTGAGTCTTGAGGCAAAGAGAAGGGACAATTTTGGTCCTTTTCTCACAATCTAACTTCACCTTCTTTTAATTCTTCCTAATTCACTCTTTCTTTGTTCCTTTTTCTTCATCTTTTTTTGTCATCCTTTCTCTTTTCTTTTCCATTACATGTAAAATTAAATTATACAAATTCTAATTCCATAAGATATTTTTGGATACAGTTTTATAAATGATTTTCTAATTTTGAACTTGTAAATAACATTTATTTATTTCTATTATATACAAATCATTCAATTCTAAAATCAAGCACACAAAAAAATATTCGTTAATATCTAATTTCATAACACAAAATTTGTTGGGGATAATATTACATTTGTTTTCTTATTTTAATTTCATTATAGTATATTTAATACACTATCATCAATATTTAAAAAAATAATATGATTTGATTATTTTTTTCTTCACTAATATATTCATTTGAATATTATATTTAAAAAAATAATACTTATTTGAATATTATATTTCATAATCATATTTTAAAAAATAAATAAAATATTTTTTATGATAAACTTTATAGACTATTCTTTTCAGATAATAACAAATCTTTTTTTAATAAATTTTGTACTTTTATGTGATAAATATAGAAAGATAAGTTTCGTATGATAAATTTAATAGTTAGATGAATTTTATGTATTAAATAAGAAAGTAATTTTTCGTGTTATAAATTCTTTTGATATTTTATAGTGAAAATATGACATAACACTATAAATAAGTTAATTACATACAAGGTAATTTTAGAAACTTCCTTTAATGTGATAGTTCTCACAAAGTTCAGTAATATATTTGATACTTTTCACATGTGATTTTTTTTTTAAAACTTTTTTATTTCAATGATTAATTTCAGTCTTAAACATCGTATGTGTGGATTTATTTGCTTATCATTATCTGAATATTTTGTTCATTTAATAAAAAATAAAAATTCTGTATATTTTTTTGTGTATGTGTATAGTTCATATGATATATTTTTAAAAATAAATATTGTGGTTGGTCTACAAGTTTGCTTCAAAGAATGTCAATTCTGGATTGGAAGTGGGAGAGGATAGCCATGGATTTTGTGGTTGGTCTTTCCAAGACTTTGGGAAAGTTTGATTCTATTTGGGTAGTAGTTGATGGATTGACTAACTCAACTAATTTTATTCCGGTAAGAATAGATTATAATGTGGAGCAATTGGCTAAAGTTTATGTGAAAGAGATAGTGAGGTTGCATGGGGTGCCCCTTTCTATCATCTCAGACTGTGGTACCCAATTCACATCCAAGTTTTGGAGGAAGTTACATGATGAATTGGGTACACAACTCACTTTTAGTACAACCTTCCATCCACAGACAGATGGACAGTCAGAGAGGACTGTTGAGGGCATGTGTGATTGATTTTGGAGGGCATTGGGATAAATTCATACCTTTGTGTGAGTTCTCCTATAATAATAGTTATTACTCCAGCATTGATGTGGTACCATTTGAGGCACTTTATGGGAGGGGATGTAGATTACTCATAGGATGGTTCGAGGCTGGAGATGTGAAACCTTTGGGGGTTGATTTAGTGAAGGATGCTCAAGATAAGGTGAAGAGTATTCAAGCTAAGCTCTTAGCCTCCCAAAGTAGACAGAAGAAGTATGTAGACCATAAGGTAAGAGATATGACATTTCAGACTGGTAAGAATGTTCTTCTTAAGGTATCACCCACGAAAGGGGTGATGAGATTTGGCAAGAAGGGCAAGCTAAGTCCACGATACATTGGTCCCTTTGAGGTTCTTGAATGTGTAGGGCCAGTGGCTTATATATTAGATTTACCTCCTAATCTATCTGGAGTTCATCCGGTATTCCATATATCCATCTTGAAGAGATATCATGGTGACGGGGATTACATCATTAAATGAGACTCAATTGTTTTAGACAAAGACCTTCAATATGATGAGGAACTGATTGCAATTCTTGATCGTGATGTGCGTAAGTTGAGGACCAAGGACATCAAGTCCATGAAAGTTCAATGGAAGCACCGTCTAGTTGAGGAAGCTATTTGGGAAATCGAGAGGGACATGCGAGACAAATATCTCCAATTGTTCGTCGATTCAGGTACTACTCCCTTTTTTCTTTAGCTTATTTTTCCTAAGTTTGTCACTCGGGGACGAGTGATGGGTAAATTGGTATCTATCGTAACGACTAGGTTCCGTCGTTATAGAAAAGCCAATGGAAAAAAAATTTAGGTCGAAAAACTTTTTCATAGTAACTTGGAACTTCTCAACCTAGTCCAGATTTGGACGAAATTGGAGTCATTAAAGTCTAGGGATATCTGGTAGCAATTGGTGATCTAATTATGAATTTGATCACAAGAGTAGATATATAAGACGTTAAGAAATTCGTACGACTTTACGAAATTGAATTCGGGTGAGTAGGACTCCCGAAATTGATCTTGGCGTGAACGGATAATTTCTGAGTGTCGTTGGTTGAAGGTGTGTTGTGAAATAGGGTCTTGGAATTATTAAAATAGCTCACTATTTCGTGCAAGCCTCTTTGGCGGGGATTTCTATCGCCAGGGCGGGGCCGCTGTAGTGGGCGAGTGCCGCCATGGCA